TGTAATATCAATGCATGCGTACAATATATTTATAAATATCAATGCATGTAATTGTTTAAAGTAGTTTGCTTAAGATTACCGGAAGCGTATCGTAAGAATTTATAACATTATCAAAGTAATCAACACAGACCGGCGCTTGCGGGTTATAATCTCACCGATAATTGATTGGTGATTGCTTGTTAATCTTTTCTGGCTTCACACCCATCGAGTTTTAATCTCACCGATAATTGGATGCTTCACACCCACCGTTTGAAGTACGATTCAATGGAAATTATGTGACGGGACGGCTGATTGATGTCGTAATCCGGAACATACAGAATCCTGATTTACCATCGATTTTTTAGCTGAAGTAATAAGGAAATAAATCGGGACATGAAAATCATGTCGGATGTCACAGCAATCCGGAGTGATCAGACATCGGATGTGACAGAGTCCACTGTAATTTAGAACAAATATTGCCTCTGTACTGTGTAAATAAAGTGTTAAAAAGCTTTTCGGTGCTGGCTCTGTCTGACATTGTATTTCTAATTTCGAAAATAAAAGATTTACTGATGGGCCCAGCTATATCATCAAGATCTGCCAAAATTTAATTTTAAGTTGTAAGAGTAGTTTGCGCAGATTTATCAGCCATAATAATTGGCGTATGAGTCGAGTCAGCGGTTATTGCATATGTACCAAATTTGGAGTCAAATTTTGTAGTTTCATCCGTATATAAAGTGGTGTTTTTCGCTGACTTTAGGGTTTCCGAAACATATTTTAAAGATACACCGACGCGCTCACATGATATTCTTTGAACTGTAGTTTTTGTTGGAGTATAATTAGATTTGAGTCCCGCGACGGCCAAACTTCCAGTTATAACCGCGTCGACGTTCCTATCGGAAACGTTGAGGTTTTTTTAGTTGTATGACCAAATTATGGCATTATGAAGTGTATCTTTGATTTTCGACGTCATACAAAATTACTTCTTCCCCACGAGGTTGAGACTTACAACCAGTTTTTTTTATTTGTCAAAACTTTATTATTATTAGACTTCGCGCGAATCAATTCTTTTGAGGTCTTTCTTAGTCGATTTTTTAAACGCAAAATTGTTTATGTATACCTATTGATCCTTCTTAATAAATTCTTATTTTTCCTATTTAACTTGGTCAAAGTCACAGCATCGACAGATGTCTGTGTCCCTCTATTTATTTAATGTATCGCGCTGGTATCTGCCGATGGTGTCTAGTCTTTGTCTTCAGTCTGAACAGCCTACTTCGAATACCGTTGTCATCAAACGACACGCTGTCGTCATGTAAAGCAGTAATTATAGACTGGTGCTCTGCATTGGTCGGAAATTTATTAATGATGCCTAGTACTAGCCTATTTTTAATTCTTGCAAAGGGAAGTTTAGTTATTGTACCAAGATCATAGTGATCTCCCAAACCAATGCTGGATAGTAATTCATCGTTGGACGTCATGCCTGCTAATTGAATCGATTGACAACAAATTAAAAAGAGTCCGTCGGTCAATTCCTGAACAAAATAAAAAGATTTGTCTCCCCTTAACCCTAAAAGCCAATAGTCTCGAACAGTAAATTTGGTCAATCAAGGCTACCCTTCGTTTCGATTAATTCTCGGTAGCAAATTTAAAATACGAAACAATTTGTTAAATTTCCCAACTTGGCAAAACTCGTCTTGGGCAATTTAACGACTATTTCACGAACCTTGCAAAATTAAAAGAAAACTACCGGTTGTACTCTTATCTTGCCCAACACGAGCATTTGTGAGATGTGAAACCGCCGAAACTAAATGACAGCACTCTGTAAATAAATAGCGAATTGAAAAATAAAAATAGGTTGCCAGGCAACAAAACATACGCCCACAGCAGCTAAATTGTCTGGGCAGTCAACAAGAGTTGTCGCATATTTTTACTTTTTTCGGTAATGAAACATTTATAATACATTAAAATCTGATTAAGAGTAACAACTCATTAAGTAATTATCAGAAAACCATTAGAATTTGTTTGGGTTTTTATAAAGTTCTGCCCCATGCTAATGTTTAGTATACAAAACTTTTAACATCGTGGATTCAGCTGTTCAAGTCATAAAGATTCATTGAAAATATACTTGTTCGTCTCAAGACCTTAAACACTGTGTATAAATTTAAAGTAAATCGGATATTAACTTTAGCCTCTAGAGCGTCCACAAGATTTTTCAAAGTGATCAAGGACCATAACTCTGGCAAAAATTATCGGAAATCGCTGAAAATCAATAGGCTTCTTTGTTTCATGGTCTTCAATAGGCTTCTTTATCTCTTGACCTTAAACACTGTGTATCAATTTAAAGCCGATCGGATATTAACTTTAGCCTCTAGAGCGTCCACAAGATTTTTCAAAGTGATCAAGGGCCATAACTCTGGCAGTAATTATCGGAAATCGCTGAAAATTAATAGGCTTCTTCATCTCATGACCAACAACAATATTCGACAAGACTTTGCACACTTCGGCTCACCCATTTGTCGTCCCATCCTTTCACTTGAAAGAGCATATTTGCCACCTTCATCTTGTTTCATGCCCCTGTAAATAAACTTTTATTTATATTTCTATCCCAGTTTGATGGATTTGACCTTCCATGCTTAGCATGACTCTTAGAGTGCTCTTTTATATGGTTGTATTCAGTGAATCGATAATGATAGTTGTCAAAATATCATCATTCGGAATGGGCTGTACACCATCATCAGAGTCAAGTACAAACATAGAAGTATTCTTTCTCTGTGTCCATTCTGGATCTCTATCATCATCATCATCATTATCGAACTCACTCTCAGAGTCAGTGAAATTGCCCAACTCGAAGCATCGCAAATTGACTTTAGGTTTTAAAGGGGTAGTTTGTGATATTGGTATAAATGGATTGTCAAAAGGAATTGGTAGACTAATATCTAGAATAGGTTCATGTAAATTTGATGCTTCTTGATCAGAGCGTGGTGTATGGAAAAAGGCCTCAGTATCAGTTGATATAAGGAAGACAACAGTTTGATGCAGGTAGGTAAGGCGTTGCTTCAGGTAAATATGAGTTTAATGCAGGTAAATGTGACCTTGTTTCAGGTAAGTAAGTGGATGATGTACGCTCAGCTAAGTAGGATGTGGAAGAAGATAAGCAGGATGTTGATGTAGGTAAGAACGACCACGACGGTGATGCAGGTATGTAGGACGACGTTATTACTGGTAAGTTTTTCCAGGACGTTGCTAAGGGTGAGTTGCATCTTGTTAGGCGTTAGCTGGTCGTTGATAAAGGTGGGTAGGTATTTGGTGAATTTATGAACGAAATTTTTTTGATGCAGGTTAAGTAGGGCCATGACGTTGATGCATGTGAGTAGGACGTCGTTACGGATAAGCCGGTTGTTGATGCAGGTGAGAAGAACTCTGATGCTGGTAAGTAGCTATTTGAGGGGGGTATGTAAAGTGTTGATTTTGATGCAGGTAAATGGGACCATGACGTTGATGTGGGGGAATAGTATGTTGTTGCCGGTAAGTTAGTCGTCGATACAGGTGAGTAGGACAATGTTGCAGGTGAGTAGGACGTGGTTACAGGTAAGTAGATACCTGATGACGTTAACTTGGAAGTAGATGCCGGCAAGTGTCGACGTAGGTATAGACAGTATTGTTCGATATGCAGATGATGTTTCCTTGGTAATGCCAACCATTGATGGTAATAGGCCTATGTCAGTCTTCGCAGCTGAAATTCCAGATGAATACTAGACTGTTCTGATCGCACGTGGCAATGATAAGTAAAAGAATCGAAATGAAAGTAAAAATCTCGAGAGACACGTGGAATTAAGAGTACAATAACTGAAATAAAAGTAGAAATGTCGCAAGACACGTGAAATTAAGAGATGTAAACGAAACGTGCCGAATCTCACACGTCTAAAGATTCTATTTTGATGGCATATTTTCGGATTTATGATCATATTTTGAATGGGGTTTATGTTTTTAAATAAATAAATAAACATGCTAATATATGTTGACAAATATTTTGATTGGAATGATGTAACTTTGTAAGTAATTAATTGTTTTAGACGATAGTGCGTGCTAGAGTCCATTGTGATTATTTAGCAGATCACATTCGCTCATTGTGGTAGAGCGATGGTTACTGCCAAATAAATTTTGGGATGTCATTTTTTTAAACTTCTGATGTAAGTCGAAACGGAGAACAAGACGAACGCCGAACTTCCACTGAAAAATGTATCGACTTATACCCCAAAAAGTACAGTAATTTTGGAGAAATTTGAAACAGGTACGTTTCGGCACGCTTTTATTCTATCCTATTACGACAACACGTAATTTTGTAGGAATATTACTGACATAAATTTGAATACCGTACGGGAATTAAACATGAAAAATAACCAGGTGCACCAATTTTTTATTATGTATGAATTTGAATATTTTGTTGGCATGTGATTTTTAATTGTGGTCTGAAAACGCCTGCTTAAATAATGACAAGAAAAATTTTGAAATCCCATCACTGATGTGATCGCAACCGCTGGGAACACAAATAACTAAAAGATCGAAAGGAAAACAAATTTCGATGACTTTATTACTTCAACAAAACTCTGTAAATTTTATACTTCTGACAGTACCACAATTAGAACCAGATTAATTGACACAGAAAATCATTGTACAAGCCATTTGTCTATCTATGAATATAAAAATTGCACGTTCCGTGATAGAAAATGACAAAAGTATGTGTTAAAGATGAAGAAATGCAGTGGTGCTTTGACGGCTAATTTAAGCTATGGCATTTTTAAATTTTTGCTGCCGTTGCAGAAGAATACTAACTTCAAGCACTAGTCATGATTTAGGCCTACTAATTAATCATAATTATTAAGTTCTCAATAGATGTTGTGTATTATCAACTCTGTGTGAAGATAGACCTAATTATTCCTTCAATAAACATCGTCTTTGATTCCCGATATAAAATCTTTACAAACACGTTACATACGCATCATATCTATGCAAACTCTTACCTCTGGTAATGCACCACCTAAAGCCATATGATGTGGGGATTCGATTCGTGATTCCTGTTCATTTTTTCCTTTCATTTTAGCTTTTTTAGAACTACTTGTTTCTGGTGTATCTCCATATCTACCTCGCCTACAATATATAAACAATTGTATATTTATGTCTTTAGCAAAATGTGATTAGTAGAATAAGTTCAGCTTTAACTAAACAATAAGAATAAACCCTTTTCCAATAGCCTACAATATATACTCTTCAAAAAAAGTAGGGGATATTGAAATACAAATACCTATTGCAGGTTGTGGTGATATGATAAATAGTCATCGACACTTGACATGCTTTGAGAGTATGATCACAGATGAAGAACTTATTGCACCAACAGAACCACAGAGCTACACGGGCGACACGCAATAGCACTGTACATGTAGGAGGGGTTCATTGTCAAATTTGACACTTCAAGGAAGGGTTGATGAAAACTGCTGCATGCTGGATTATCCAATCCATGTTTGATTTCTTATCGGTTCTTGCATAAGATTTACTGTTTAGCGTATCTTTGCTTATGTGTGTTACGTTTAATTTGCAATGAGAGGTCTTCAACATGATGAACGTCTACGTGCTATTGGCATGCTTCAAATGGGTTCTACACAGCGAGCAGTAGCCAACATGCTTAATGTGTTACAGTCTGTGATCAGCAGACTGTGGAACCGGTACCAACAAACAAATGTTGATGATAGATCTCGTTCAGGATCGATACATTCGTACACAGGTCCTGCAAAATCGAGGACAAACGGTCAATCAGCTCTCTGTAAACTTGTACCAAGTTACAGGAACTCGAGTTACACCCCAAACGGTTAGACATTGGCTACATGCAGCCCATTTGCATGCGCGACGACCGCATGTTATGCCTCCATTAACTCACCAGTACAAGGCAAACAGGCGTCAATGGAGTAGGCAGTGTAGAAATTGGGGTAATCGTCGATGGGTGTGTGTAATGTTCTCTGATGAGTCCAGATTTACTCTGGATTTCACCAATGTGTTTGGAGGCGTGTAAATGAGTGTCCTGCTAACGTTAACATCAGACAGCATGACTGGTTCGGGCGTGGGTCTGTTATGGTGTGGGGAGGAATCACCATGACTGGTAGAGCGGACTTTCATATTGATCAAGGAAGGGTCACTGGTCTGTACTACCGTGACCACATCCTGGCACCGATAGTTCTGCCCTTTGCTCAACGTGCCGGTCGACATTTCATCTTTCAAGATGATAATGCCCGTGCCCACTGCACTTGTGTCGTGAATGACTATTGTCCATATGCCTTGGCCAGCCATGAGTCCTGACCTTTCCCCTATAGAGCATATCTGGGACATGATCGGGAGACGTGTTCGTCAACGTAAACCAACAACACTGCAAGAATTGGCTGTGGCACTGCAAGAGGAGTGGGTCAGACTGCCCCAAATCATGATTGGACGGTTGATTAGGAGCATGCCACGAAGAATTGCTTAGTCATGGAAACAGCACATTATAAATAGACTATTGTTATTATTGTTATTATTATTATTATTAAGACAAAAATCAAAAACATCCATTTTCACTTTTGACAGTATCTCTTCACGAGTGATATGGGGCCGTCAGATAAGCCACCTATATGAACTATTTTGATCAATTAATGTCTAGTTCTCATCCAAGGTTTAATTTTTAAATCAGTGGTTCCAAATTATATTTCTTCAACCAAAATTGTAAATTTCCAGTATGGGGAATAAAGCACACTTGTCACTGATCGGCGACAGATGCAGATTATTGTTCAAGGTAATGCACATCATCTAACAAGCGATTGCCATGCAAGATGCGCCTACATATTGCAAAAGATGGACCTAAAAGAATAGTGTAATTTTTTTTACAATCAGAGGCCACAATCCAGGAAGTTACGATCCGATATGCGCGAATACTGAAAGGAACAGAGATCTTTGGGTTATAAACACACATTTCAATTTTCATTAAAATTGGATAACCAGCAGTTGCCAGGCAAGATATGCCCACATTTTGTAAGAGAACAAGCTAAAAACAAACGCTATTTTTCGTACAATCAGGGGCCATAATCCAGAAAGATATGGTCTGAAATGCGCAAATATCGAAAGGGACTTAGATCTTTGGGACATAAATATATATTTTAAGTTTCACCAAGATTGGATAAAAAATGTGACCTCTAGAGGATCCACAACCTTAGTACTATGTACTTTTACACATTTTGCGTACAAAGAACGTCCATATGCAGTTCGTTTCAATTTTCCCAAAATTCGATTTCAACCTTAATTATGGTGGAATGGTGATATATTTAAATGGATAAAAAATTGTGATCTCTAGAGAATCCACAAGCTAAAAAATGTAATTTTTTGTACAATCAGGGGCCAAAATCCAGGAAGTTACAGTCCGATATGTGCAATTATTAAAAGGAACCATGATCTTTGGATTATATTATATTATAATTTATAACCATACGTTTCAAGTTTCATCAAAATTGTGACTTCTAGAGTGTCCACAACCTTGGTATTGCATACTTTTACACTATTTGCGTACAAGGAGCAGGCATTTAGTCTGGCAGTTTCAGTCAGATTTTTACGAAATCCAAACCCAACGGTGATATGTTTAAACTGTTTTTAAAATTGAATACAAATTGTGACTTCTAGCGGGTCCACAAGCTAAAAACGCGATTTTTCGTACAATCAGGGGCCATAACTCAGGAAGTTACGTTCGGATATGCGCGATTATCGAAAGATCTTTGTGATATAAACATAAATTTTATATGTTTCTTCAAAATCGGATAAAAATCTAGAGGGTCCACAACCTTGATATACCATATTTTTATGCTATTTGAGAACAAAGGGCGGCCATTTTTCTGTCAGTTTTGGGCCGATTTTCACGGAATTCGAACTCAGCCGTCCTTAGGGTGTAACGGTGATATATTAACATGTTTTTTTAAATCGGATAAAAATTATGACCTCTATAGGGTCTACAAGCCAAAAAACGTGATTTTGCGTACAATCAGGGGCCATAATTAAGAAAGTTACAGTCCAATATGCGCGAATATCGAAAGGAACTGAGATCTTTGGTTTATAAACTTATATTTCAAGTTTCAACAAAATCGGATAAAATTTGTGACCTCTGTAGGGTCCACAACCTTGATATACCATATTTTTAGGCTATTTGAGAACGAAGGTGGGCCATTTTGTCTGTCAGTTTTGGGCCGATTTTCACGAAATTCAAACTCAGTCGTCCTTAGGGTGTAACGGTGATATAATAATACGGTTTTTTAAATCGGATAAAAATTATGACCTCTATAGGGTCCACAAGCTAAAAACGCGATTTTTCGTACAATCAGGGGCCATAATTCAGGAAGTTACGTTCCGATATGCATGAATATCGAAAGGAACCGAGATCTTTGGGTTATAAGCAAACATTTCAAGTTTAAACCAAATCGGATAAAAATTGTGACCTCTACAGTGTTCACAAGCTGAACACTTGATTTTTCAGACAATCAGGGGCCATAATCCATGAAGTTACGGTCCGATACATGCCAATATCGAAATGAACCGAGATCTTAGGGTGATAAACCTATATTTCAAGTTTCATTGAAATCGGATAAAAATTGTGACCTGTAGACTGTTCACAAACAATTGTGGACGGACGGACGGACGGACAGGGGCCTATAAAAATACCTCCCTGTCAGCATGTGTATAAAATAAAAATAAGTAAAACTAAAACGCTATTTAAAATTAAATCTAGCAATGTTGGTTTATTGACCCAATTCTAACTGATGCATGTCACATGTTATCGGGAATAGGAAAGCATTGGAGATCCTGACGAAAAAATATATTATTGTCTGTTTCTCGGGATATCCAGTGTTCTGTCAGGGATTATTCAATCACTATTTAAATATAACTAACATAAAATGTATTATCCAATTATTATTTTAATATCTACCGAGTGAGATATCTTCTTTTGCCACGTGGCTTATTATTACAAAGGAAACTTACTGGACCTGTTATGAATAACCAGTAAGCTTGTTTTGGGTTTTTTTTACCGAATTATCAAAATTACTGTTAAATGTGCTAAGGTAGGTGACTATAATGTTGATGTGAGCAATAATTATTCACTTTAAAGTATGGCAAATTTATCAGTACAACAACGAATTTTAAAATTGAAGGAGAATAAACTTCCTTTTAGGCATTATTTGATTTAAAGGGTGATTAGCTCTATTCTTTTGAATACCGGTAGACGAAATTGGGTAATGAGTATGTAATGAGTATAAAGTAATATGCCCTATTTTGAATTTGTTTTATTGTATATTCTAATCAATTATCAAGCGTCATTGTGAAAGATTTGATAAAGAGCTGACACTTCTCCCTATAATAGTTATAAATAGATAATGTAAAGGGAATATGCTGAAAATTTCAGTAAAGTTTCTTAACTCTGAGCAGAGAAACAAAAACCTCATTTCAATAACATTTCAATAACCTCATTGAGAACTGATTATGGTCTTGTCATGTTAATAAATGTCTGATTAATAGATTATATATATAACATATAACTAATGAAATATCAGGCCTTGAGATTTGAAGGGCGCGATTGCGCTGTGCTCGCAATTTTATACTGGCGAACACAAATTACCGCGAAAGCAAATTACAAGTTTCAATTTTATTAAAATCGGCCTGAGGCTGAATAATCCAGCCTCTAATAGCTCCCGTTCACTGACATGTCGCGTGTCCGTGAACGGGAGTTATCAGAGGCCTTTATTCTTGGTGTTTCGTATCCACAAAACACTTCGGTGACCCTCTCAATGTTGGTAGTATTGATTATCAAGACTGCCATTTAACACGTTTTACAATACATTGAGTTGTTCATATTTTTAAATTGCTTTTATGTGTAAATATTCATAGAATAAAAAAGATATTTTGTTGTCCTTAGTTTTGGTTTTATGTTTTACTTTATTTTTCTGTTGACGTTGTCGCTATGAAATATAAAAATTAAATAAAAATTCCCGGTGGCGTGCCTGTTCGTCTCGTATTTCCTCGGACTTCTGAACTGGAAAACAAGGTCTATGTATCTGTCAACAGTCTTGTGTGAAATATCGAGATGTTTC